AAGGTCAGCAAGAAATGAAAGATTAGGGCTTTCTCTGTACTTTGCTAAGCATGCATAATGCTGTCTAGATTCCCAGGAATATCTCAATGCTTTTCACCCTAATGGACATCTTTCTCCAGTTTTTCTTTTCAAGGTTTTTGGTTAGTTTCTTATTAGCCCCAACCTGTACTGCTGCCCCAGGCACCACAATGTTAAACAGTTGCCAATGTTTTTTTTGTTTTTTGTTTTTTTTTTAACCAATGCCTTGGAGATAGGGCTGTTCAGACAGAGCAGATTCTGATTCAGGTCAAATACAACAATCCCTGAGATCAGAGCTTTTAACTTATCTGCAAGATTGTTCAAATAGTGACATTTCTCTGTGGCTGTTGCTGTTGGAGAGCTCCAAACCCATCATGTCCTCTCTAGTGATGTCTAGGCTACTGGTTTTCATAGCTACTATAGTTGTGAAGGTGTTTGTTTGCAAATCTGCTGCAAAACTGGGATTAAGGGGATGGCATTAGGGAAGTTAAAATGACTTTGCTGTTCTTTCTGAGGTTCAACCATTTTTTTCTTGAATAAATTCTTTTTTGATTGCTGTAATCCTTTATTTACTATCCAGAGTTTTGAAAAAGTTGATTTTTCCAGTGTTTTTATTATTTTTATAAAGGAGTGGATTTTCAGAAATCTTTAATTAGTCCCCCTGGAAATGCCTCTCTATGACAGTGATGGCGAACCTTTTGAGCTCGACGTGTCAAAATTTTGAAAAACCCTAACTTAATTCTGGTGCCATGTCACATATAGAAATATTCATAATTTTTTTTTATATTTGCAGCCATAGTAAAATAAGATTTATATTTTTGATATTTATTTTATATATTTAAGTGCCATTTAACAAAGAAAAATCAACCAAAAATATGTATAAAATGAAAAAAAAACAGAAAAACAATGTACATTTAGGAAAAAATAATAATAAAAACAATGATAATCAAATGGTGTGAAAACTAGAAATTAGTGACTTTTTTGGTGCTGAAGTTTGTCTGCTAATTTTTTGATTGCAGGTTCATACTTGGTGCACTTCAAGGCCAAGCAAGCACCACTAACTTCATCTGTTAGCCGGTTTCTTTTGTTTGTTTTAATATTATTTAATGCTGAGAACAAAATATCACAAAAATATGTTGATGAAAAAATTGTTAGCAAAGCCATTGCTAGATTTTTTATGTTGCTAAAAATGTCAGGTACTCTGTTCCAAGCACTCAAAATTTCTTGTTCGTAGTTGTACTCTTCTTCATTATTCAAACAATTTTGTTCCAGATTTTCAAATTTCGACCTTAAGTCGACAAACACATGAGTCCAAATGCTACCTTGAAAATCTGCAAGTTGCATCTCTAAATCGTCAATTTGCATCCATTGGAAATCCTTTAATTCCAAAGTACTGTAAACAACTACATCCAGATACTTAATTATTTTAATGGTCTGTTCTAGGCTTCTAAATTGGTTGAATCTTTCGCTGAACTGTTCAAATAACGAGTTTACTATATTCTGGTACATAAGTATGGACTCCATTACACTCGTTTTAGTGGCTGCCTTGAAACATTTTTTTTTATCTGAGGAAAATACTTATAAGTTTTAGTTTCAATATCTCGCTTGAAATTTTAAGTTTACTTTCAGAAGATTTGCTATATCCAAACACAACGTCAATACTTTTGCCAAAACCTTGTAATTTTAAGTTCAGTTCATTCATATGAACAGAGAGATCTGTAAAAAACATCAAATTGCTGACCCACTTATGATCATTGATCTGAGGAAAGTTTGCCAGATCCTTATTCTCAATAAATACCGTAATTTCTTTAAAGCACTCCACAAATCGCTCAAGTACTTTACCTCGACTCAGCCATCTCACATTATTGAACATCAGTAGTCCACTGTAGGTTGAATCAACTTCCTGTAAAAGTGCAGAAAATTCTCACTTGTGAAGGGGTCAAGAAGCTATGAAATTCACAATTTTTGTTACAACTGACATTAAATCATTCAATTATGAGAATCCCGATTTGGCACACAACACCTCCTGGTGGATAATGCAATGAAAAGGTACAAGTGGATGTCTAATAGGTTCCATAAACAATTTCAGGAATCCCACATTTTTTCCCACCATATTTGGTGCCCCATCTGTCGTGACTGACACAATTTTAGAGATATCAATGTTTAGGTCACTGAATGTTTTTATAACAACCTTACATATTTCGTTTCCTGATGTACTTATTGGCACTGATTCTAACTTTATCAACTCTTCTCTCATTGTGAGACCATCAGAATATCTAACAATAATGGCCAACCGAGCATTTGATGTGACATCAGTAGTTCATCAAGAGAAATCGAAAAATATTTACAACTATTTAAGTCTTTTTTTAATTGATGTTGTATGTTTTTGTAAAGATCTATAATTCTGTCTTTGATAGTATTTCTACTGAGTGGTAACTCAGAAATTCTTTTAATAATATCATCTTTATTTTTCATATCGTGAAGTAGAACTGGTGCACATCTTAGAAATGTTTCCTTAATAAATTCTCCGTCACTGAGGGCTTTTCCATGCTGAGCTATGGGGTGAGCAATACAGTAACTTGCTGATGTTAAATTTGTAGAGCATCTTACAAATTTAACGATGGAATTTGATTGACTTTTATAGAGGTGTAGCTGTCTAGAAATGTATTCCTTCCTTTCATCGATACTTTTTTTCAAGAGCTGACAATGATTAGTTTCAAAATGTCTCTTTACATTCCACGTTCTGCTTACTACCGTTAGATTACACAGTATGCACAATGATCTGTTGTTTCTGTCGACAATCCCGTACATCTCGGTCCATATGTCTTGAAAGGGTCAGCTACTTCCTTTATCATTCAATCTTGGTTTTTTATTTTTTTGATTCTCCATCACAAGGCTGCAAAAATAAATAAATATAAATCACAGCGTTTTTATTTTTTTATTTTATTTTTTTTAAAAATATATTTTATTGATTTTTTACAGAGAGGAAGGCAGAGAGATAGAGAGTTAGAAACATTGATCAGCTGCCTCCCGCACATCTCCCACTGGGGATGTGCCCGCAACCCAGGTACATGCCCTTGACCGGAATCGAACCTGGGACCTTTCAGTCCACAGGCCGACGCTCTATCCACTGAGCCAAACCGGTTTTGGCAATCACAGAATTTTTAATAAAAGGTTGATAGGTTTCTTACCTATTAACTTTTTGCAGTGTTGTTGCACTGACTCCTGGTGCAAAACAATTCAAAGATAGTATGTATAACCAACAAATATATGGTGCTGTAATCAATTATCCGACACGCAGAATGTCTCGTCGAGCACTGTTGCACTGTATATCTTTTTCTTCTAACCCTCCCACTCCTGTCTCCTAATGAACATGGCGATCAAGTGCGTCCGTTTGCCGAATGCACCCGAACACACGGGAAGCTTACCCGAGGCACATGTTGACAATAATGAGGCCGTTTCCAGAATTGGGCATTTTGTCACTCGAGTAAAAATAAAATGTCATGAGTAAAGATTAATCTCTTTATAGTGCAAGTCTTACCTTTTTATATTAATGTCAATATTGGAACAGTGTATCTTGGATGTTTTCACTATGTATTTTTGCTACACAACACCTATGTACATGTTTACATCCGGTTTTAGAATTGCATTATTGATCATGAGTAATGTGCGTTAATAATATTACTTGAGTGATGCCCAACTCTGGCCGTTGTGAGAGACAAATATTTGAATTATGCAATTTTTTGTCTCTGTCGATGCGTGTCACCCAAAATGAGTTCGCATGTCACCTCTGACACGTGTGTCATAGGTTCGCCATCACTGCTCTATGATGACTTTTTAAAGTATGTTTTTTTAATTATCTGGATTTTTCTAGTTATCTCTGCAGGAATAATTTTATGCCTGAACTTACTATAATACCCAGAAGCAGAAATCAAGAATCAATTTTACATTTGTATCAGCACCAGATAGTAGACCATATACCAGTTTCATAAACTTTTCATACGGAAAGCATTAGAATATTACAAGTAAACAAGTAAAGACTTTTTTCTGATCTTGCTAAGATTCCGAGGTAAAGAAATATCTATGGGGAACTATACTTGTATTCAAATTTTCTATTTCATTGCATGGGTATGAAAAAATCAATTTTTTCTTATAATTTAAATGTTCTAATTATAGACATATTTGTCATTCACTAAAATATGTTTTACCTGTTGGTTTTATAGTCCATGATCAAAAATAAAATCAAGTGGTAATAGTCTCTTAGATTTGTTCGTAGTCAATCAGTAACTAGATGGCTAAAGGTTGCTCATTAGATGATTTTGAGAGGCATGCCTTAGCCCCCAACCATTTTGAACCAGGTGAAGTTTGACCTTGGTTCTTCTCTCTTGACGTCTATTATCAGACCTTTAAGATTTCTATTATACTTTATTTTCCCTTTTAGTTGGAGATTAAATCAAGATAGCAATTAATATTTAGAATATAATTGATAATTTGAGTTGTCTTTACTTTCAGGATCATGCCTTCAAGAACAGTCCTTTACCTAGAAATGCATTTGTTTGAATGATAAATAACCAGTAGAGTTGTTGTAGCAGTAGTCCTAGGCCAGGATTAGTGCCCATAAAATGGGATGTTCATTATACACTGTCTTCTCCTTAACTACTCTGAATTCTTAACTTTTCTTGCTTATGGGAACAATTTTCTGAGGCCTTTTTAGACACATTATAATTGGTTGCCTCCTGAGATATTTATAGATATGTGATGGCCCTAGAATAAATAAAGCCTAGACATAATGCTTTAACCTCTTGAATATGATGCCACTGAAATGTTTAATAGGATGAAATGAACATGTTATTCATAAACCATCAAATGGTACATTATTGATGAAGTCATAGTAGTAAAATGATTTAGAAACAAGTGTTTTATGCTGATGATATGAGAAGGCTAGAATATCTTAGTTATAACAGACACTTTTTTTTAAACAGTTGAGGAAGATGTAACTGAAAAACAAACCACCAAGCGACCTTCTGAGCAGCCTCTATCTGATGTTGCTCCTCTCTCTCCTAAGCTCCCCAAAATAGAGATGCATGCCTCTCAAGGTAAATAGTATCTACATGTCCCAAGATTGGGGAGAAAAGTCATTCTATACCACTTATATATGTTCTTGTATGGTGGTGTTGAGGGTAGGGGGTGTATTTGCCTAAGTCATTTTGACAATTAGGCTACTACTTTGGCAGCTTTGTTGAGCACTCTATTCTCTTCAGAAGGACACAGTTAATGTTTCTCATTAGATTAAAAAGAAACAATTACAGTAAAATTTTTCATTCAACTTTAAACTACTGAAAGATGATAGAAAGAGGAATTTATTGGGGGTGACATTGGTTAATAAAATTATACAGATTTCAGGTATACAATTCTATAATACGTCTTCTGGATATTGTATTATGTGTTTACCACCCCAAGTTAAGTCTCCTTCCATCACCATTTATTTCCCCTCTCCTTTCTTCTACCTCCTCCCAGCCCCCTTCCCTCTGGTAATCACCATGTGTGGGGGTTTTTAACCTCTCCAACTTTGTGTTGTTATTTTTTTAATTTAATATCCTGCAACTTTACTGAATTTGTTGATTAGTTCTCTTTTTTTATTAAGTCTCTTTTTTTTATTGTTGACACTATTACAGATGTCTCCCATTCTCCCCCCTTTGCTCCTCTCCACCCAGCCTCCATATCCCCAGCCGCCTTCCAGTCCCTCCACCCCTCTTCCCTCTGAGATCTGTCAGTCTCTCCAGCGAAAGTTTTAAGTGCCCAACTAGTAGGCAAATTTTAGAAACTAGCTGAGTGATCATAACAAATAGTTGTGAAGAATGGCATTTCTGAAAGTGAATGCCTTAGTGAGGTGTTCACAGCAACTGTAGGTGATGTCATAGAATAAATTTGGATTTCAGGATAGTGTCTATTACTATAAATATCAAGGAGGGGATGGCCATGTACTTTGTGTTAAAGGTTTGTGGTTTAGTATAGCATGGCTTAAGCGAATTGTTGTTGAAGATTAGATTTTTGACCTTTTAATAGTATTTGAATTATAAGTCTGTTGAAGATAATTGCCTTTGTCTTTTTTCTTCTAGAAGAACTATTGTCTTCTGAGGGAAATGTCATGCCTAAAGAGGAGACGCTTCCTGAAGAGTCCCAGGACTCACCACTAAATCCAGAAAGTAATTTGAATCCTGCCAGTGGAGATCCTTTAAGCACTGATACCTCAGTCTCCAAGAATTTTTCTGAAGGTGTGCCCTTCTCCTTAAGTTCAGCACTACTGGATACATCATCTACCCAGAACATTCCCCATGAATTCCAAATGCAGAAGAACAGTGAAGGTATATTTTAAAACAGTGATTTTAAATCATTGTGTGTCTCTTTCCCCTTAAGGTTTCCATGTTCAGTGACATCCCCTGAGAGTGTATCACATTAGAGAAAGTGCCAAATTGAGGAGGTTGAGACACCTCCACATCACTGTCAGGGCCTAGCCATTACAGATGCTAAGATTGTCCCTGTGTAGATTGCCTCTGCTGTTAAGTGACGTTGTTTGCAGAGAGTCTGAAGATGGATGTTTATTCTATAAAGGGGTAGTTTACCCTGAATTTTCAGGGATTTTCACAGAACATGAGCTTTTGAAGACAGACCTTCTTAGTACAAGGCTCTAAAAGGTTGCTTCTAATGCTGAATATCTTACTTCCAAATGTATTCCTAACACTACCATGCCAAAGTAGCCTGTATTGGGGCTTGAGAAGGCTACCGCTGATCTTTTTGGTAGTGGGAAGACTAATAGTAATAACATTACTTATTAGTAGTTACTTAATAAAAAGCATCATTATCTTTATCACTATCTGACATTATGTGCCTAGCACATAATATTTTGCATAGCCTTATACATTAAATCTTTATAATAATTTCTTGTGATGTAGGGTGCTGGTAAACATTTTTAGGTAGAAAAATCTGAGTAGTCAGTTGACTAAGGTGAAGGTAGCTGGACCAGTGCTTGACGCCAGGCCCTCTGGCTCAATGGTCATACTCTATACCGCCATGTTGCTTACATCTCCAGAGAATAGGTAAGCATTTCACTTGGAAACTGTCTAGAAATGTCATTACTATTCTTTTCTTTAAGGTATTGGAACTGTTAAAGCTGAATTCATCCCTGATTGCTGGTTATGCTCACACAACCTTCTGCCCTGCCCCATTATTTGAATGAAATAAATTGTTGATTTTTGTTATAGGAAAGAAATTCAATAACATTGTTGGGGATAAAAATCAAATCACTTTCACTTTATTTCAGAAATAGTTACTGCTATACTAGTATTTACAAGGCAAAGCTATTCAGGATAAAAACATGGCTGGACTTTATTTTTTACATAATTTGTTTAATGTAATTATTTGAATAACACTAAATGTTTGCAACCTTCTCTGGTTGTTTTGAAGATATGGGCCTAATTACATTATTTTTCCATAATAGATTAAAAATAGATATTCTTATCGATGTTTTGTTTTAATATAATATTATAGTTTTGTACCAGAAATCATATCTTTACTTATACTTTATCTGTAGTAATCTGTAAAACTAGTTATATGTTGTTCAAGTTTATATATATACAATGAAATATTACTTGGCCATAAAACTGAATGTAATCTTGCCATTTGCGATAACATGGAACTAGATGGTATTATGCTAAGCTAAACAAGTCAGAGAAAGACAAATATCTTATGATTTCATTTACACGCAGAATAGAAAAACAATAAATAAATAAAACAGAAATAGACAACGACAACAAAAATACATAACTATATTCCCCCTGTGAACTACTATATCACTTGGTTGGAAAACTGCCTCATATTACCAATAGACTGAAACTACACTAGTAGTCTGATTCAGTCTAGACATTTGTTCAATATGTTATAAGTGCAACTTTTCTCCTGTTCATCATGTAAGATCACTGAAACTTCCTTATCACTCTGAAACACTGAAAGAGTAAATTGTAAATGGGAAAAAAAAGACATAACTATATCAGATTTTGTGACAGAAATCAGAAATACCACAAAACATAAGTTAATTTAGTGGTATGATTCGCCTTGCCAATAAGTTTATGTTAAATTGAGTCTTTCTTCAGTTAAAGATCTTTCTGTCTAAGTTTTTAGAATGTCTTAGGTATGATATGGTCTACAGCAGCGGTCGCCAACTGGTGGTCTGTGGACCACGGTGGTCTGTGAGGTACGAAAGGTTGGCGACCGCTGGTCTACTTCATCATCACTTTTATCTTGGTTGATTCAGCCCAGTAGCATTTCTTGGTAGATATGACCAACATTTTTTTATCTCTGACTAGTGGAAGAGGAAGATACATTTTAGTAAAGACGTTTTATTTTACATCAAAGTTGTGATATTATTGAAAAAGAAAATTCTAAGCCACACACAAAAAATTGATCATTGTAACTTTTTTTATCTTCTGTTTTCTTTGCTCTTGTCCTCAATAAATACTCAAAATGTCCCGTAAGTGTCCAGAATCCAGATAATAGGAAATAAAGGTACACCTTTGGCTAATTTATTCCAAAAAGATCAAATTTGTATTGACAGTTTCTTGGTTAGACACATAATATAAATCTTCCTAGTAAAGCATACAGTGTACAGATGATGTATTATAGAATTATTTACCTGAAACCTGTGTAATTTTATTAATGTCACCCCAATAAATTCAATTTAAAAAAAATAAAAAAACCCACTGTGTTTTCACACACTATAGAAAGTTGAGTGTTCTGGTTGAGAAAATGAATACTTGCCTAGACACAGAAATTTCAGCATGATTTAGTGAACATCATAGCTAAAACTTTTTGAGGTATGAGCACTTCAATTGTTTCATGTCTTAGTTACTTATTTTTTCAACATATAAACCTTCAACCAAATTATCTATTGCTATGCAAATAAACTTGAAAGAGGTATTTGATATTAAATACCTCAGTATAATATTGAAGTTACTTCTGACCTATATAAACAGACAATAATCTTGTTTTCTTCAAAATTCAGATAAGCATTTGAGCCTTGAGATACAGGAATTTAAAAAATAAAGTAATGCTAAAAACGTTCATATTAAGTACATGGGAGAGATTTAGTAAAAGAACTAATTCAGTTCTTCTTAAAGATAATAGGGTTTTTGAAATTTATTGATTAAAGTGAATAAATATAAGCAATTAGAAAACTAAATTTGGGGAATTCCCATTGTATTTAGCTAGTAAAATAAACCTAATCTAGAAAAGAGGAGAAAAATTCATTGAAATACTTAAAGAGAGTAATAGGTTAGCTTAGATGAACCTAATTTAACCCAAGTAACAGATCTTTTACTGTATTTTCCTGTGGCCAAAGAGACCTTGGATTGCTCAATCTGTTTTATGAACTTTGAAGCTTTACAGTAACTTCGGAAGCTGCTGTTGTTGTTCATGGGCAGTCAGATGGGACGCTCATGGGTACCCATCCTCACATCATCTTTATCTAAGCTTTCATTGGATTTTACACTTGGAGTCCTGGGTCCTTGCCAGGGTACCTAACAGATGGTTCCAGGAATGAGTTCATCACTTCCTACCTAACATCTCTTCTTTCAGGATAATGATCAGGTCAAGTATGATTTGTCTTTTTTCCCCCCATTGAAGCTCCAAGTTATATAGCTGTACCTGACCCCAGTGTCCTGAAGCAAGGCTTCTCTAAGGACCCTTCAACCTGGTGTGTGGATGAAGTGATACAGTTTATGAAACATAAAGATCCTCAGATATCAGGCCCCCTCGCCGACCTCTTCAGGCAACATGTAATGTATCTTTTGATCCGGTTTTCCTGCCTTTGAATGACTTCTGTGCAGGCTCTTCAGTTGGAAGCTGATTAGTGTGGATGGTGGGGAACTCTATCAACTGATTTTTCCATATGTGAGAAAGGTTACCTTGTTCAAAGTTAGATCCGTAAGTGGTAGAGGCTGGATCTATACTTTAAATGGGTACCCGAGTACCTAAAATACTACAAGTCTTCAAGTTCTCAAGAGAAGATGATTCAGCATGGTCACTCACTCTCAGGTGTCTTCTTTGTAACGGCAGCTACAAGGATCCTCCTCCCCACCTGCTCCCTGCTCAGCCCCAGGACCATGAGTAGGAGGGGGTGACCACAAGCTGTAACAGGGTGTCCATCTTGTTTTTGATGCCCAATGAATTCAGCAACTGTATAAGATTAAGTGCAGCTTTATTTTATGGATACCAAATAATATGCTTCTGTGACATAAATTGGTTAATTAAGGAAATAAAGAATTTTAGGAGGATGCCTTATGTCTATTAAAGAATATGTTTATATTTTCTAATAAATCATATTTGTGACCAAATATCTGATGTATCCTTTTCAATATTGTAAGAAAATTACTGATTACAACAAACTGATTAGCTTTCAAAATAAACACAACACTATATACCACATTTACAGTTTGCGTTGATGTTGACATATTCATATTCCAGCCTTTCTAAGATAGTTAATGGCCGTCTGAAATTCATTTCTACCGCTTACAGGTTTCTGCCCTTTGTCACAGATAATGTAGTATTTTATTCGGTACACATTATTTAGAATTAGCTAGTTTGATGCTTAGGCCATTTTTAAAAAAGATACTGGGTTAAGTTTCCTTTTTCTTAAAATTTGAAGTGAATTTAAAAATTATCAAATGATGCTTTACTATATAAATTATATTTTAAATAGTTCTCAGGGAATAAATGTCTATTCAGACAATATATATTGGGAATGTACAGCTTCTCTCTTTTAAATGTTCTTATGTATAAATAACGACAAAATATGAATGCATTATTAATTTTTATAATTTCTTTCTCTCTATAGGAAATTGATGGGAAGGCTCTGCTACTACTCAAAAGTGATGTTGTAATGAAGTATATGGGGCTGAAGTTGGGGCCAGCTCTAAAGTTATGCTACCACATTGAAAAACTTAAAGAAGGGAAACCCAGTTTTAAAAATATATAAGTTTGTATTAGCCATGATTCTCTCAGTTGTCCTGATAATTTATTAATCTAAAAGTATTTTTATTCTCTTAGCAGTTTTAGTTTTCTAGACAGTTCCTAAAAAAGAATGTTACATACAGAATTGCAGAGCTACATTACAGTCCGGTCTACATCTTTAAATACCGTTTTATGTATTAGTATTAGCATATTCAAATTGACAACTTCTTTATGTCTTTTTATTATTTTATAGTTTATTATTTTATCATACAGTTTACAAGTATACTTCAGGTAGGAAACAGAGAAACCTTTGATTTCAGTTAATGTTTATGTATAGAACTAAAACAGCTAAATTCCAAAGGGGAAAGTATCAGGGATTGACAAGTTCTCTAGTAAAATCCATGAGAAGTTGTCGTTAGAAGAAAATTTAAAGATACAACAGCAGAAATCATCTCTTTCTCAAATATTTTGTCTGTTATAACAGTGTTCTGTTCGTGTTCTACCAGTTTCCAGAAAGGGAATAACCATATAAATTATTACCCTTTTGTTATTTTTCTATATGTTATATTTGTTCATATTTAAAGAAAAAAAGCAAGCTTATAAACTTTCATAAAGTGTTCTTATCTGTTTTTGATAATTTTCAAGCAATTATAAGCTAGATAGAATAGTTGCTTTATGTAGGAGATATTATACTAAAAGGGTGTCTTGGATGGAGTCTGGTTAATTTTTTTCAATGGAATACCTATTATTTTAAAACAACATAGGTAGGCATTCATTTCTCAAATCTCTATTTGAAGACAGCCGTGCCCAAATTTTTACAAGATATATATTTTATTGTCTGTGTTTATTCCTCATATGGTTACAGCATATTTATATATTATTCTATACCTGTAGGTGTACAAAGAAATAAATCTGCTCTTTTTGAATTTAATATGGCACTTTACACTGCCACAGAGGTAATGATAAACTATTTATATAATCAGACGTTTTTATTCTGTAAAACAATATGTGCATCATTTGCTATCATTAGTACCTCTCAGCTTAGTCTTCAGGGGATAAGAAACAATTCATAGATTGGTTTCCCTACAGGGAAGTTCTCTGTCCTATGCAATGTTTCTAATTAATTTGCTTAGTTCTGAGCCATTTATTCTGCTAAATTTTGGAAGATGCATTGATTTTGACATCATTTGGGCTTTAATTTTAAAGTAGAACTTTCAGGGGGAAATGGTGCTATATGTTTATTGTTATTACTTTGTATAACTTTGGAGTAATGTTTATAAGCTATGAGAATTTGTGCTAAAAGTATTAGCCATTTGTTGAAAATGCCAGTGAAATATACACCAGGGGCAAGAATGTTCATTTTATTTTTTAGAAAAGCAAATGTACTTTATACAAGAATGCAACTATTTAAAGGGTGGTTTCACCTATGTTATTTCTTTTGTGTTATAAGATAAAATTCTAATTTAAACTTGGTCTTCTCTCAAATTGTTTGAGTGAAGACGCTATGTCCAGTTGAACAGTCCTCAGGTGTTTATACAAATACTATGTTTTACAGTTATCAGATTTTAAAATATAATAAAGTTAAATAACAGCAAAAACTGGTGTCAGAGTCTCAGTTGTGATTTGCTTTCACCTCGTTACATTTATGTATGAATTGGGTATATTGAAAAAGCAGCAATCTAGTAAGTTTGTGGTTTTATATGTCCAAATACTCGAGTTTAACACTTGACCTCATTCCATGGGTGAACAGATTCATAGGGGCAAAGGGCTGGTCTCTTGAAGGGGCCTTAAATGAGAACAGGGGAACAGTCAGAAGTTAAATCAGTGAGCTTTGTCTGTGCTCAAAGCTTTAGTTACTTGCAATGTTATTGATGAAGCCAGCATGCTAGAAAATGCCAGTGCCCCAGATATTGCCTCACCTGAGTTCATCTGTCTGGTGATTCTGGATGCTCTTTTACCAGTGGGGGACAGAAGCTGCACTGTCTCTCTGCCTTCAACTCTCCCAGCTTACATGCTCAGAAGGCCTTAGAGCAGCGGTTCTCAACCTGTGGGTCGCGACTCCTTTGGGGGTCGAACGACCCTTTCACAGGGGTCGCCTAAATACATCCTGCATATCAGATATTTACATTATGATTCATAACAGTAGCAAAATTACAGTTATGAAGTAGCCACGAAAATAATTTTATGGTTGGGGGTCACCACAACATGAGGAACTGCATTAAAGGGTCGTGGCATTAGGAAGTTTGAGAACCACTGCCTTAGAGGCTCAGAGTTGTGGTTTTTCGCCTTCAGTATCTGACTCCTCAGCCCACCCACCCCAGGAGCTGCTGCTAGGTGTCTGTGAACCCAGAAACTTTCTGTTGTTGCTTCTTAGCAGCCTGTTCTATACTTCACTGGAGGCCACATGGTCATAATAGGTTCCAGGGGTTGGTGCTCCAGTGACTGGAATAGGGCATCCATTTGCTGTCTGAGACTTGGGTGATTCAGAACCACTTGTTCTTCACTGGTTTGTAAATTATTAGTGCAGAGAATAGAATGCTATGCTAGCCTCCTGTGAACTTGCCAGGCTTTTAAAATAATATTTCCTCTAGTTTTGCCTCCCATTCCATCTTGGAGACTCTGTAGCCAAAAGAATTGAGCAACTTGAGCTCTGAAGCCCTCTGGGCACATCGAGCATTTGCTTTCATCTGTGTGATTTCTGATGGTTGGAGTATCTTATAGGACATATTCCAGAGAAGGATTTCCCAGACTTTTAAACCTGGACGCCTCTGTAAGCATGAAAAAGCCATGCCCTTCTGTAATATTGTAAATTAAAAATTCAACATCACAACTGGAAACAATGTAATTGGGAAGAAAAGCGCTGTTTTTTCAAGCAGCAGAAGGGATTGTACTCACAGTTGGCTGAGGAAATGAAGTGTGTTTACATTTTGGGAGCTGTTTCTACAGTGTGATGCTGGGACTTGCTTGTATCCCGAAGTCCTCTGAGGCTGATCAGGGAATGATGGGCTCTAGGGGAGGGAAACAATGCGTGGTGGACAGTGTTCTTCCACTCCCTCCCGATATCCCCCTTGTCCTGCAGCTTGATGGAATTGAGCCTTGAAAGCATCTCTCCCCAGTGAGTGCAGACTCAGTTCAAGCTTGCCCACATTTCCCATATGAGTGGCAACTCTGGTATGGACTGCCTTCCCTGGCTTTAGCAGCACTATCATCACTGAGGGGAGATATTTAAGACATAAGGAGCCCAGCTCCTCCCCTCAAGCTGCCTGCACATCTTTGAGATTATTCAACGTTCATGGAAAGGAGAACCTCAGGCTGCTTACAGCATGCATGAGCTCCAAGAGACCATGAGCAGTGTCAAATCAGTCATTCTGTGTCTTGTTCTTCAGCTGAAGAA